ATGAAAAGGTAACCTAGCTTACTTGGAAAATTTGCATACATCACAGTTACTTGAATCTAATGAAATTCTTGGGAACAAGTTCACAAAACATTTTCTGATGGATGGCCAATCCTTGAGTACCATAAATTCCCATTATTCAAACTCCCCTTAGCTGCCAAGGCTTTATTCGGTTAATTAATCAAGTATAGATCATGTGAAGCATGACCCTCACCAATCATCTTCCCCATGGTCCTGTCCTGAAACATCACAAAATGAGGAGAAAAAATGACATTACAGTTTACATCATGAGTGATTTCGCTAACAAAAAGCAAATTTGATGGAAAGGAAGGCAAGTAGAAAACATTAGGATGATACTCATAAAAAATAAGAGATGTTTTTCTAATTCTAGTAACATGAATCATTGCCCCATTGGCTATTGATACAGATCGTCTATCTGTGACTTTCTTGAAGCTGGACAGATAGTCCATATTTCCAGTCATGTGGTCACTAGCGCCTGAATCAATGACCCATGTAGATGATGGAGAGGACAGTTCAACACATGAGTTTGTGAAGATAATACATGCTTCTTGGGAGAGAATATGACCAGTGAAGGATTCCTGTGTGGAAGAGGAGCCGCTCTTACCCAGCTGTTAGAGAAGTTGCGTAAGTTTTTCAAGGCTAATATGAGAATAAATAGATGCAGTTTGAACTGTAGGATTTTTTTCTCTTGTTGGTTTGAGATGGGGATACAGACCCCAACACCTATCCTTGGTATGACCTTGGTTTCCACAATGAGCACATCGTAGAGAGGATCTTCTTCCAATTCCTCGTCGTCTGCCTTTTCCATGATAACTAGACCCTCTTCCTGAGGTATTGAAAGGTTGTTTAAAAGCATCTGGTTTGATGGCTGTTAGGGCAAATTTTTCAGAAGCACCTTTAATTTAAGGAATTATAGCTTTTCTTCTTGTTTCCTCTTGACAAACAGTAGCACAAACATTCATAAAGGATGGGAGTTCTTTAGACATCAGGATTTGGCTACTAGCATTTTCATATTTCGAGTTAAAGCCAGCAAGAAAGATACAATTTTTATCTTGCTCAATTCGTTTTTGATTTTCCTTCAAATCGATTGTAGCAGGGGAATATGTTGCAAGTTCATCCCATAATCTTTTAAAGGAAGCCATGTATTCTGTAACAGATCCGTCATCTTGCTTACCACAGGATATTTCTTGCTTTAATTAAAAACTTCGAGATAAATTATCTTGTTTTCCATATATTTCTTTTATAGATGTCTAGAGATCCTGAGCATTTTCAGCATCAGTGAAAATCTTTGTCATATTAGGCTCTATGGAATTGAGTACCCAAGACATGACTTTCTTATCTTCAGAAATCCAATCCTCATGCCTCAAAATTTAATTTGAAGCAACTTTGGTCTGGTGGCATCCATCTGGCATAAGGTCTATGTCTAGGCACATCCAATTGAAAAAGATTAGAGAGATTCATCATAACATCAACCTCAGAAAAACCTCTACTGTTGGAAGGTTGACATTTTCTTTCTATTATTCAAGAGGAAGTTTTCTATTTTGTGTGAGATTACACCTATGTGCCAGATTGTGTGGGATTACATTTTTTCTTTTTACTAAAATCGGTTGCATCATTTTGTTATATATGGGTGTTACCTGTATTAAAAAAAAAAAGAGCTTTCACCGTTCATGGATGTAGGCACATGCCGAACCACATACATATTGTGCCATGGTCTCTGTGTATCTTTGATCTCTCTTACTTTTTCAATATGATTTCAAAGCGAAAGATCATTTTTTGAAGCCTGCAATGTTTTAAATCTCTTGTGCGTTGCCAGCAGCCATTGTGAGGGGTCCTATGTTCCTCCCTTGTAGGGCTCGCATCCCTTTCTCTCTATACTACTAACGTTTTTCCTCTTTTGTTTTAACACCTTTTATCATAGCTTATTATCCCTTTTTTTTTTTTCTTTTATCATCATCCCTATTATGTTGTCTTATTCAACTCTATTCACCCATATATAAACCATATATATATATGTCATTATCCAGGCTTATTTAAATAATGAGAAATGTGAGAAGTGGAGGCGACCATAATAAACTGGTTGAAGGGAGAGTGGAGATACAGAGGATTTTTTCTTCTTCTTTTGTTTGTTGACTGCCCAAATTTTTCGGCAACGATTGTGCCTTTAGATCTCTTGATCAAATGTCTACACCAGAGGCAGCAGAAACCAACGGCCACCCTATTCAAATATGTGTGCCTTTGTTGCCCCCCTTCGGATCCATGCTGCTAGGTTCTGTTTATATGTTTCTTGGTGTTCCTTTACTTGTGGCTGCTGGGGTTTGTTTTTTTCTTGGTCCTTCTTCTGTGTGGCCAAGATTTAGTGATTGTTGAGTTATTTGTTTTTTTTTTTTAATATGGGGGAAAATTCAAAAGATGTACGCCATGAAAAGGAGTATAGTATTAATGACAAACTCACTAGCACTCTTATAAATGGAAATAACAATCAAACTTGAGCAAGACTGCATCTATCTTTTTGGGAGGGAGATCCATGTTAGGTCACATGGATGGAACAAAACATGTTCCATCTAAAGAAGATTCTAGGCCTAGCTAGTTTTGGTGGGGTGGTTCGAAATTGGCAGGGAAATGTAATTATTGCATATGCTGGCCTATGTGGGGCAACTACAACCAATCATGCAGAATTACTAGCTCTTTTCCATGGTTTGAAATTATTGGTGGAGATGATATTTGGAGTGGGCTTTTTTGTTGAGGGGGATTCGATAAATGTTATTAAGTGGTGCAAGAAAGAACAATATTTCCCATGGCAACTTAAATTGATTGGTTTACAGATTTTTGACTTGATGTCCTCATTGAACTTATCTTTTACACATGTGTACATGGAGACCAATGATTTAGTTGATTTATTGGCTAAGAGGGGAGTGGCTTTGGATTCGTTTGTAGTATCTGATGATGTAAATTTCCTAATGTAATCCGCAATTATTATATTATAATATTGTTTTATACTAATATATAATATCTATATATTAAATATGGAAAAAGTTTATATAGAGCTGAGGCTCTAATCAATCAAACTAGAGCCCACCTCAAAAATTTCAGTAGTACATGTTGTTTTATGCCCAAATATCCTCAAATTGATCATCTCGACATCAAGATGCATGGACATGAGAAAAAAATGGATTCAAGTTTTGGAAATAGTACATCTTGTAACACACTGTTGGACTGTAAATTTTTAAGATTTTTAAGTTTTCATAGATCTGCTTGATCTATACTATATTTGAAGCTTTAAATTTTATAATTAAAGATGAAAATATATTTTAAGGTTATCACAAAGATTTTCAGGATTGAAACCACATTTCTCGACACTATTTGAAGGTGCATTTTACTTTGATTGTTTAGAGCCTTGGCTCTATAAACTTTTTCAATGCAAGTTCACGGCGAGAAATACAAAAGTTCGGCTGAGATTTTTTATTATTATTTAAAATTACGAGAGGGGAATGTTTCGGTTTTGCAAACGTGGATTTTGGCCGCAACATTCACTGCAACCGTTTCATTCAGGGCATAACCGGAAAGGGTTTCCAGATATTTCCCCCCTTTTCATATTTCAAATTCGAAAGACGGAAACGCCTCCATTTCATCTCCCTCCCCCCCTCTCTGTCTCTCTCATTTTCATTCTCACTCCTACGCTCTCTCTCTCTCTCTCTCTC